AGTAGCCCAGGGAGAGCCACTGAGTATACCCAGGTCAGGTGAAGGGAGGAGATTTTTTTCTCTATGCATTCTCTGATCTGGTTTGGGTTTTATTCTTGGAAAACCACGCTTTTACAGTATCCTTCTCCCCCCACCCTTCATCCCCTACCCCCACTAGAACATGACAGCAAACCCACACTCCCCTTCTCCCTGCTGCCTCATTCGCGGTTTCTTTGATTTTGTCCCTTCTACCTCAGGGTCCCTTCCAGCTCTTCTCCGAGTGAGACAGGGTTTAGCCACAAATTCCACTCGTCTTTTGGATTGCCCTTGAGTCTGGTGAAAATTTACTTACCCTAACCTTTGTTATTTTGAAATCTGCCTGTTCAGATAAACTACACAGAACTTGAGAAATATGCAGTCTGTGTGTTCTTCTCAAGTAGAGTATTTTCAGCAATATGAACCTGTTTTACTATGTTTTAATATATGGGAATTCTGATTTTCTTCAAGGATCAATCTCTTATTGTCATAGTTTGTGTGTGTGTGTGTGTGTGTGTGTGTGTGTGTTTTAGGAGAAGGTATTTACTACTGTAGTGATTAGAAAAAATACTAGGAAAGCTTTCACAAGCCCCACTGTAAGGCTAACATTTGTTTAGCCAAGCACCCATACTCTAATACCTTTTAAAGTAAAATACTTTACAGTTAGATGCCAGACATCTTAAGTATCCAAGTAATTTATTTAATTGTTATACTCTAATTAGCAGGGACAAATGCTACACATGTTGTTTGTGTTAAACAGATTAGAGTGAAATTGCATCACAATGTAAGTCTGACACCTTAAGGAGAAGCAATTAGTTTTATGGTTGTTTTGTTTTTAATGCATTTAAAATAAAGTGGCCAAGGTTAATTTGATGAGTGTATGCGCCTTAAACTTGTTACAACCTCCCACAGCTCAAGTTCTTCAAAGGCCATCCGTAACTTCAGTGTCTGACTCCCTACGCCGGTGTTCATTTTTCCTACATGCATGATATTAAGAAAAGAAAAAGTAATGGCTGGAAAATATTCCAAGGAAGTTCTTTGTTTGCATGTATTAGCCTATATATTAACTATAGAGACTATTATTATTATTATTTTTGGAAATGAGCATTGAGCTGAGAAATAGCTGAGCTCAGAAAAGTAACATTTTCACGAGATGGAGCAAAAAAACTAGTATAATAGCCGTTTTGGTTCTCGTTGCATTATAAATTTAATCTAGTATCATTCATATTTAGATAGTGCCATTTGTTTTGTGCCTTTACAAGTAAAAAATAACCAGAAAAACAGTTTTAACCAATTAGTTTCCCTTCTATGTGGCAACTGTGTTGGCAGTAACCAAGGTCAGCCAATATGCTTTATAAATGGGTTATAAATGATCCGGATTGAAGGGTGTGTCTATCAATTAGTTCTCCTTGTGGGCTTCTTATTTATGGTTTTGATGGGCCTACCTTAGTTATCAGAAGTAGAATATTGAACCCAAGTTTGTTTAGCCAGCAGTTACAGAACCAATCACTGAATTTGAACTTGTATTACATTGCAAAATAAGAGATTTATGGTTAACTTGAATTCCTTGTCAATGATGAACATAACCAAGAGATCGCTTGTTACAAGGAACTTTTATAACCTACTCACCTTCATTTCACATGTTTATGAGGACTGGCTTCACTCATGATCTGCAGTTGACAGTCATAAAGTTCTTTGTTATAATGGCAAATTCTGATAACAAGTTTGCTTCACATTGGCTCAAATTCCACTGGAAACTGTCATAAATGACCTGTTTCTAAAAGGAACCTTCCTGTCCCTAGTTTTTTGATCGTGCATTTATGAAGACAAAGGGGTGTTCTCCTAGGAAATTATTTTCTTTTGACCTGAAAGAAAGAAACCCTGATGCGTAAGGTTTTATATCTTTTCATCAGTTTAGCAAAGCAATTTCTCAAATAGTTCTTCTGTCGGCCAAGCCAAGCATATTGATTACAACCAAAAGTCAAATTGATTTTTTTCTTAGCACTGACTTAAAATGTTGTAGTGCTAAGAGGCTTACCAGTGTCTCTTTGTTTTTATAACTTGTCTGTAAAGAGGAATGCTTAAAGTAATACAACAGGATGTGAATTGTAAATGAGAAATTCAGTTGTATCTTTTAAATTTGCCACCAAAGGATTTGGAGATCTCTGTCCTTTTTCATCTGTGAGTTTTCAATACATACTCAATTTTTCTTTCTTGTTGTGCATTCTTTTTTATAACTTCTTTTTTAAAAAATTAATTAGTGGAGCTCACTTACCAAATTCTGTGACCTTCAATTTGCTTTGTTTCCTGTATTTTCCCTATAGTTTTTTTTTTTTCCAGAAGTCATATGGCACCGTTTTTTAGTTGCCCTATCTAGGTTATTTAAAAACAAATTTAGATTTTTTGCCATTCTAAGGAGGAGCTTATACTAGGTTAAATTCTCATTCTTTATAATTCACACATAATTTAGGGGAAATAAATTCCCTTTAAAGATGTTATGGGCATAAAGGGAATGTGGAAATCAGAATGATAGTAACAGAGGGTTGACCTCTGATAATAACATTTAACCCTTTGTGTGAACAAAAGTTCATTATTATACTGGCAGGGTAAATAACATATATTAGTATCATTGTATTTAAGACAATGCTGACATTAAAACAATGCCATAAAATTTGCTTATCCTTTGCAAAAATGAATAATACAAAAATTCAGGCAGCATTTGATCATGATAATTATGGAACCTATTCAAAATATACTTCTTTACAAACATTTTATACATTTTCCAAAATCCATTTCTATTAATAGATAGGTTCTTCTAAAGTTCCTGATTTGTTCCTCTGCACAAATCTTGGAAATATGAGCTGATTATCTTCAGTTTTCATGTGAAGTGGAGACTGTTCAAAGCCACTTAACATATTGGCAGGCAGTTATGATTGCATTTCAATATCCTTACGTCGGACTTGTGACCACAGTAGGTGCAGTTATTAGCCAACATTATGACTGTGTTTTGGTTATTCTATAACCTACACTAATATTTTGGAACAAATCAAATGTATGTGTGGGATAGAACACACTGTAAAACTTAAGTTTCTTGGTCCAGGAAGGTCAATCTAATTACACTTAAATTTTTTTTCTCAAGGGACCTCTTATTTATAATAACCAGGTCCATGCTTGTTGACGACAGGGACATGATACATTGAAGTAGGTAGCATAGACATAGAAATCACTTATAACTGTACACTTACTTTCTTGTGCTTTCTAGCCTTCCTCCCGGCGGCTTGGATTGTCCTGTGCCAACTGTCACACCACAACCACCACTTTATGGCGTAGAAATGCCGAGGGCGAACCTGTGTGCAATGCTTGTGGACTCTACATGAAACTCCATGGGGTGCGCCACGTATTCTGCTCATATGTATACATGTTTAGTGTAGTTTGTACATGGTTTCAGTTAAGAAAAAAGTCGGCAAAGGAGGAGGGATGAAAGTGAAAATTTGATTGTCTATATGCATGTTATTGATGACAAGTTAAACTATTATCTTAAATAGCAATAAGAAACAAAAAAATGCTGTCAATTAAACGGCCACACATATTTGTTGTAAGACATCACAATATTAGAAATATTAAAATGTGAAAAATGTATATTTTAGAATTGATAAAATGGTAGTAACCCTTAAACTGCAAAAGAGGAAAACATGCAACCAACTAGAAATGCATAATAACTAGTTTATATTAACTTAATTCTTGAATGCAATCAAATAAATTTATATAAAGAAGTAATATATGTATTTGATAGTTATAGTTAGAAAGATTGTATACTTCATTTTAAGGACAGCACAAAATATTATAAATATATCTATCTTAAAAAGGAAAATAACCTATATGTAGAAGGAAGAGAATACATGAGCTCTATGAAATGAAAATATTCAGTGGTTTTACTCTGTAATTGAAATTGTTTAAAACAATAAACATTAATTGAAGGAATAATATCTCCCTGGCAAATCACCTCATTTTCCCTGCAGGAATCTGCATTTGATGGGGTCTTTGTACAGTTGGAATCTATTGAAAAAATATAAATGGTATTGCAATTTATGCCAAGTTCTTTTAAATGAGGGCCTTCAGTGCTGACATTGGTTCTTTGGCTAAAGTTTGGGTTTTCTTCAATATAATATTAACTTTCTGGCCTATGTGAAATTTTTTTTAGGTGCCCCGACCGCTTGCTATGAAAAAAGAGGGAATTCAAACCAGGAAACGAAAACCCAAGAACATAAATAAGTCAAAGGCTTGCTCTGGTAAATATAATAAAATGCTATTTGATTGTTACGTATTTGCTAACCTTAACAGTAGAGTATACGTATATTTATGAGGTTAATTTTGACTGTTGCAGGCAACAGTAATAATTCCGTTCCTATGACTCCATCTTCCACCTCTTCTAACTCAGATGATTGCAGCAAAAATACTTCCCCCACAACACAACCAACAGCCTCAGGGGTAAGTGTTAAAATAGTATAGACTCTTCTAACCTAGTGTGTAGTCTCCAGTTTATTATCTCAAATTTTATGTGATAGTACAATAGTCTAAACCAACAGTTCAGTTTAGTTAGTTGATACCTAAGAATAGTTTTTAGAGGCAATTACATTTAAATGACAAACATAAGTACTTTGCAAACCTCTTAAGATCTATGTCATATTTTTATGGTTAAATTAAACCAAGTAAAAGCTAGAAGTTTTGGTTTGAAGTGCTTTTAAATTGTTTTATTTCCAGGTTTTTATCTGCATTTATATACCCCAGAACCCATGGCATTAAATTGCTTTTGCTTATCATATCAACTCTTGCTTTCAATTTTCCTGTCTCAAGCCCTTACCTTTGCTTTCCTTCCTTCCTCTGACCCCCCCTCCCTCCTTTCATTTCTTCCTTTCTTCCTATCTACCCAAAACATAGCTCATCATAATGGGTCAGGTGCTGCTGTCGTCACTGATCTTGCTTCACTTTACTGTCCTCTTGCTGGGAGGCCTGCCTTCTTTCAGTGCACCTTAATCGTACCCAGGCTTCTTCCATTCAGCCTTGCTATAAACCTGTGAGCGATTTGGTTTGTGAGTGAGAGTCTTTGTCAAGATCACACACAGCGTTTGTTTCTGTAAAGCTGTGATTGAAACTCAGTTTTTCTCAAGTGCAGAGCATTTTCCCACCTTGGTATTTCCCAAATTTATCTGGAATGTATGTATGTATGTATGTATGTATGTATGTATGTATGTATTTATGGAGTGCTCTTTAAAAACGACTGAGTCTCACCCTAGATCTCATTGAAATCCAGGGTGGGCTTGGGCAGCACATTCCAAGTGATGGTAGGGTTATACTGAGACTAGCATAGGATGACACGCCAGCATTAAAATCTCGATTGACACAGTATTTTCTACAATTAATCTTGCCCTTTTAGGGGTACATTGAAATACTACAGATTTCTGGGCCCCACCCCAAATTTTCTGAGTCAGAGTCTCAAAACAATTTTGAACTGTGCTTAAAACTATATTTATTTCTCTTTGTCTTCTGCCCCAAATTCATTTGGGCTTTTTCTTTAACAAAACAAGAAATTCAATCTGAGATTCACAAGGGAAAAAACCTTTCATTCCTTTTTGTTTGTTGCCTACAGGTTAAAGGATGTTTCTAGCCTTGATCAAGGTGGACTCTAGTGTATCATGTTTTTACAGAAGGGTTACATGCAGTAATTTTAAAGATCTAATGTAGTAAGTAGAACAGTTCCTTGTAGGGAAATAAAAAGATGGAAATTATTTAAAAATATTTTTTTATTATGCCTTCAGTCCTCAGAAGCAATTATGTGGCTAAATGAGGCAAAACAACATTCTGGTTCTCCAGAGCGTTTAGGGAGCAGCCAGGTTTTTGGCCGCAGTCATTTTTAGCAGAAATGAGGATTGCTGCCAGCTCCACGTCACTTCTGTTGGTGATACAGTCCAGCTTAAACTTGGCAAAGGCCAAATTTGAATGATAAATGGCAAAGAAATAGGTATTTGCCAACAATGGGCTTTGGGGACTTGGAACCCTAGTGGGTGGAATCCATATTTTGCTCTTGTGGTTTTGTGATGTGAAATTTCAAAATTGGCTCTGCGCAAGTCCAATCGTTTGCCTTCCCAGGGGAGAAAAGGCCGTGGCTGGCTCTGGCTCTGGTGTGTCTGCAAGAGGAACCTTGGGAGTTCTGCTTTGGTGTCCCAGCGTCTGTCACCTGGGGCCCAGCACCCCAGAGGTGGCTTGCCAGCCAGTGCCCTGAGGAGGAACACGCAGTTCCCTCCTAAAGGCCAGGAGGCAAAGCAGCAGGATTTTAGAGACGGGCTGTGTGATCTGCAGTTGGCCTCAGAAATGCTTTGGGACAGCTTTCCTGGTGGGTGGGGGGGTGCGGGGTGGATTGCCCGCCATCCTCCCTTCACCCCAGGGGCTCTCCTGGCCTGGCTCCACAGGCACTCGACTGTCATCTGGGTTGTGGGTTTTTTTCTATGGATGGTGAGCCCATCACGAATGTCTCCATCCGCTCCTACCGGCCGTACCTGTTGTGGGGAACTAGGCCTGCTTGGCAGAAGCCAGTTTGCTTGCTGCCTTTGGAAATTGTGCCCCTCTAAGAATAATTGTAGACTCCAGTGGTCTCCCCATGTTACTACCAAGGAGTGCCAGTGTGTGCCCGTTGGTCCCTTAGCACTTTTCAGACCCTTCTCTGGGTGTGTGTGGCCAGTGTGGCAGCAGGGGAGCTGTAAAGAGCATGCTAGAGGAGTTAGTCTGTGAGCTGCTGGCAGAAGCATTTGTGAAAGGGGGTTGTACTGACAAAGATGTGTTTTCCCCCCATTTGGATCATGGTTTATGATGTTGGAGGGCAGTTGGTGTTGGCACTAACCACTTACAGGACTTTGTGAAGGACTGGATGTAAGGAAAATGTTATATTCACAGAGCAAGGTCGGATCTGGTACGTAGTACATGGCACCTTCATTGGCTCAGTGTTTAAACTTCCTATGTTGATGGGTACATCCCATTGGTCTCCAGTGGCCCCTTTGGCGGAAATTAGGGTTATCCTACCTTAAGAGGGACAACTGAGCTACAAAACAAAGGACAACCTTAGGCACACTCCCAGTGGAACACAGGAACTGGGGCCACCTGTTCTTCCACTGAGATGTACATGGCAGCATAACCGCTCCACCTTTCCTTAGTGGTGGTGAGTTACAGCATGGATGTCAGACCGCGGCAGCGGTCTTAATCAAAACTGCTGATTATTTTCATTCCCCCTGAGAAATCAGCTCTAGATCATCAGTAGGCATTCCCACCAGGCGTCTGGTCAGTCCTGATGTCCCTGCCCTGCCCTGCACGTGGGCAGGTGGGGACACCAGGTCACGAGCCGGGACTGGTTCTTGAGCTAACCTGGCAGGGGCTGAGTATTCTGGAGGAGGCACTCCTAGTTGTCTGCTGCTAAGAGAGGAGGCTCCAGGGCTCCCTCCCCAGCAGGGCAAAGGTGTGGGCAGGGCTCCTCGTGCACTGCACTTGGCATTCTTCCAGGACAAGTGCCAGGAAAAGAATTTTTGTGCTGCTCTGAAGCTTCATTTCTTTGACTTACTTGCATGTCTTAGCTTATGTACTTGTTGCTACTTTGTGTTTTAACTAGACCCCTGCCTGGGGAAAAATGGAGACATTCCTTCTGATGATCTTCAGGTCAATGACCTGGCTATCTTATGACTCAGTTTCTCTTTGTTGTAGGCTGTGGGTGCAGTGGTGTGTGTGTGTGTGTGTGTGTGTGTGTGTGTGTGTGTGTGAGTGTGTGTGTGTGTGGTGGAGGTAGAGAGAGAGTAGTTTGTTTGTTCTGTGTGAGATTGAGAAGAAACTGCTTCCATGCAGCCCAGGATTAAAATTGCCCCTGTCTTGTTGCTTTGGAATCTTTGTTTGTTAATAATGAATTAAACTTAATTTTTGAGACAGTTGATTAAATTTTTTGACTTTTGAACTTTAAGATAAATTTCCCCCAAATACTCTTTCATTGTGTCTAAAATAGTCTTAATACATGTAGTTTTACTGAAAAATGTGTGTTCAGTTGGCATTTATATTCTGAATTGTAAGAATATTTAAATCTTGCATTGATTTCAATTTATTGACTGAGTTATTTTTTTTTAATTTTTTTATTGCTTAAAGTATTGTAAGAATATTTAAATCTGTCCCTTTTTTTCCCTCGCCCTTGAGAGTTATTTTTTATAGGTTTTTTATTCTGGTTATTTAGAAGGGAGATATAGTAATGTATTCTATTTCAGCAATTCTCAAATACGGTCTAACAGTTTATAAATATTACTATCCTTCCTATGACTTGTAACTAAAAATCTATAAAATTATAAGATGCTTTTTATATACAGGGGTGGGCAAATGTAAGTTTATAGTTGTGAGTATGTGAAACATAGTTTATTTTTGTATTATTTATTGTGTTATTTATTTGTATTATGTAAACCTACTTTTGCTCACCCCTGTATAGTTCATCTCCATGTATTTCGACGTTATATGTTTAATGATGACTTCAGTACTATGTCTACAGTTTTAATACGAACTTAAGTAGGCTTTAATTTTTAATAATTCTTTATAGAACTACTTTTAGGCAGGCAAAATATGTATGTGTATATAATATATAAACATAATAATATATATGTTAATCCCCAAGTTGTATTAGGTAAAAGGTATTTCTTAAATTTTCTTTGGGATGAAAAGGTTAATTTGGAAATGAAATAAGCGCTAAGACTTAGTGTCTGAGAATAAGAAATCACTGAACCTACAGGATGTGGCAAAAGCAGGTTTTCAGTTGTGAGCAAGTGAAACGTTTTATTCTATTATTAATTATTTTATTATTTTCCTTATGAACAGCTGTGGTCCTATTTTTGCCCCACCCTTTATACGACAATTCCTTGCTTTACAGTTCCATTTACGAAGCGCTGTGCTATGGGAGGCCCTGTTTATAACGGAGTAAACTAGGTCCCTGATCTTAAACTGTTCGTAAGGTGGTGGTAGTGGAGCGGGCAGGTATAGAGAGATGTTACTGCTGGTTAGATTTGGAAGTATGTTAAATGAGTGACAAAGTGCTGTAGTAGATAAAAGGTGAATTCTGACTGCAGAGTTGGAGATAGCTCCACAGAGCAGAGGAAATTGAAATTAGTTGGGTAGGATTTTTGCGGGGGAAACAATGGGGTAAGAGTCTCCAGGAAGAAGAGGATCATGAGTATCTGGTACTTCAGGGACAGTCTTAGGAGTTCATTGTGGCTGGAGTGCAGGGTGTAAGAAGCCAAAGGCAGGAGATAAGGCTGGTAAAATAGGTGGAAGGTGGATCTTTGAAAGGATTTAAAATTACTATCAGGTCAGCCTTAAGAAGATCCCAAGCCACATTCATTTCTAAATGATGGACTTTCTCTAAGCCCCACTGCAGTCACAAATGTATTTCTGTCTATGTTGGAGCCCAACAATTAAGA